CCAGACCCACCCCCTTAAATACATTTTGGACTCGTTTTCAGACTGATTTAGAGACATTTTGCAGCTCTTAGCTGACCCCGCACTGAACACGCAAGTGTGAAGTGCGAGGTAGGGGCTGTCAGCATTTGCGACTTTTCGATTTCGACAGCGGAAAAGCACTCAAAAGTTGCGGTTTTCAATGCTGATTTCAGATCCGTCCTCGTTTTTGCGATCATACAAAGCCTTCATGACCTTACTGGCCGTTTTAAGCAAAAAAGCGGTGCTTTTCATGTTTTTACAGTGTTTAGGCTCTCAGATAGCCTCCACGTCGTCGGCCAAGGAGGGTGACCATTAAGTTGTCTTCAGTAGCATAAAAGACAACATTCTGAGCCACGAGGGGTCATGGGTCACCCCTTTTATGTGCCCAAGATCTAAAAGGCAGAATTTTTAAGTCAAAAATCACTCAATTTTTTACATTTTTTCACCGTTTATCGACTTATACGAGAGCCCACGGGCCCGAAGTCATAACTGAAACAGGCCAAAAGGTGTCATTGGGTATGAGAAAGGTCACCCAGCCCCTGCTCGGGCTCAGGGGGGCGCTTGGGTGAGCGAGAGAGGCGCTGTCGAGAATGTTCAAAATGACCGAAATCAGATCAGAAGAGGCCTAGGTCGGGGCTCAAATGGGTATCCAATGAGGCCCAGGTCGGGGCTTCAAACGGGCTTAGGCCATCGGGGCTCGAGTCGGGCACTGGCCAGGGCTCAGGTCATCGGGGCACATGTCGACCCTGCCCTCAGCCTAGCTCGATCCTGGCAAGGGTCACCGCCGCGACAGACGCTTTGCCTTGCTGTGCCTAGGCAACTCAAACTCCACGCGCGCCACCTCCACTCCTTCGTCACTCTGCCTCCAGGGTGCGAGAGAGGCAGCGACGGATTCTTCGGAATCGCTTGCAGCCTGCCCGCCCTGCAGCTCGGTTTCGACGGCTCCCGTCGCTCTGTCAGAGATGCGCTCGCTTGCCGCAAATCCGGCCTTCTGATAGATTTAGAGTAAACTGGGGAAAAACCGCCTGTTGCGAGGCCAGAATGGAGGTGGAGGGGGGACGCCGCCAAGCCGCACTGAGACAAATAATGAAGATTGTGGCTGTTAAACCTAATGCCACTCTCCACTGTTCACCGAAAGAAGGTGTTTACCGTACCCTGGGGCACAGTAGACACTGTGCCTCCAGGAACGGCGTTCACTGTACCCTGCGAACCCGCATCCGCCGTACCTTGGAAACTGTTCAGACACTGCATTCAGTATAACCGTAACATAAAGGCGAAATTCCAAAATTACGATAGGAACGATTGGATGAAGGAAATGAATTCATCTTAACAATTCGAACAAAAAATGATGGGCACATTATGATCTCAGACTCGTAACTCAGCGGGAATCGTGATCAGAAGTCAAAAATAGTTGGATTTTGGACTCCAAAACATCGGACTGATCAAATTACGGTCCTAAATCCCACTTTTTTAGACTTTTGATGCCGATATCTGTTGAATTTCGAGTCTGAGCCCGTAAAACATGCTTATCATTTTTTGTTCGTCTTGTTGAGATGAATTCATTTCCGTCATTCAAACGTTCCTACAGTGACTTTGGAATTTCACCTTTATCTTACGGTTATACTGAATGCCGTGTCTGAACAGTTTCCAAGGTACAGTGGATGCAGGTTCCCAGGGTACAGTGAACGCCGTTCCATCAGGCACATTGTCTACTGTATCCCAGGGTACGGTAAACACCTTCTTTTGGTAAAGAGTGAAGAGTAGCATTAGGTTTAACAGCCACAATCTCCATTATTTCTCTCAGTGCGGGAGCCTCACAGTGCTAGTCTCTTACGGGGTGAAAATCAATCGGTTTACTCCAGCACTCGAACGTGCGCATCTCTGACGAACGGGGTCCCTACACTGTTAAAAATTATGTTGTAATTTAGCAGTAAATATGTTGCTAATTTTCTTTATGATCAAAATTGTTTTCAAATGACTTTCGTTGTTTACTAACGGCAGACAGCCTTATTTGCATCAATTTTTATTGCCGATTAGGTCACAGACCTAGTAGAGTCCCACCTCTCTCGCTCCCCCAGCGCCTCCCTGACCCCGAGCAGGGGCTAGGCGACCTTTCTTATACCCAATGACACCTTTTGGCCTGTTTAAGTTTAAGTTATGACTTCGGCCCGTGGGCTCTCGTATAAGTCGATAAACGGTGAAAAAATGTAAAAAATTGAGTGATTTTTGACTTAAAAATTCTGCCTTTTAGATCTTGGGCACATAAAAGGGCCGACCCACGACCCCTCGTGGCTCAGAATGTTGTCTTTTATGCTACTGAAGACAACTAAATGGTCACCCTCCTTGGCCGACGACGTGGAGGCTATCTGAAGGCCTAAACACTGTAAAAACATGAAAAGCACCGCTTTTTTGCTTAAAACGGCCAGGAGGGTCATGAAGGCTTTGTATGATCGCAAAAACGAGGACGGATCTGAAATCAGCATTGAAAACCGCAACTTTTGAGTGCTTTTCCGCTGTCGAAATCGAAAAGTCATAAATGCTGACAGCCCCTACCTCGCACTTCACACTTCCGTGTCCAGTGCGGGGTCAGCTAAGAGCTGCAAAACGACGGTCCCTATCGATAGGCTCGTAAGTCCGAGCGGCGGGAACGTAGGAGCGCAAGTCCGTCCGCCCGGGACATACCGTCGTATCTCGCCCGGGTCGCGACGAAGCGTGCTATGTAGATACGGAATGATGCAAAGATAGCACGCTACGTCGCGACCCGGGCGAGATACGACGGTATGTCCCGGGCGGACGGACTTGCGCTCCTACGTTCCCGCCGCTCGGACTTACGAGCCTATCGATAGGGACCGTCGAAAATGTCTCTAAATCAGTCTGAAAACGAGTCCAAAATGTATTTAAGGGGGTGGGTCTGGGTCAGGGGGCTGGGTTGGGTCACGCGGGGTGGGTGCGGGGGGCTGTTTGGCACGGGGGAAGGGGTAGTGGCAATCCGCAGCGCATGTACGCACTTGCAGTGCGCTAAGCGCGTGCATTCTCCCCCAAAATGGCAATTCCGCCATGTTTTACCTGTTTTCCCGGTTCCTGCGACTCGCCTGGTGTCGTTGTGGCTTCCCGCCGTCCAGGGCAGACATTGCAGACACCGCCAGACTTGATCCGCGCGAGAGGAAAGCCCTTACCTGGCCAAATACCTAGAATTAAAAAAAAAATGGGTCGGTGCGTGGCGGGTTGCCTAAGCTGAGCAAAAACGGCCGATGTGGGACCCCTAGCGTTTGTACGATTTCGATTCTCTTGACGGCATTCTTTATAACTATGGACGGGCTAACTTTTCTGGTATGTAGAACTTGCATAACGAACAACGGCCTCACCATGACCGCCCCTACCCGGACGGCCGGTGTTCGAAAGAGGGTGGGGCTTTCCGGGGGATGATTCAACTGGGGGTGGTGGAAACCTCGATTAAAGATGATGGCTTGGTACGGGGGACGTCCTGACGCTGGTTTACGCGAAATTCGAACTTGCTCGAAATCCACCCCCTTGAGGGGGTGGGGGTGAGTGCAGCGGGGGCTGGGTTGGTTCAATTTGAATTCCGCTTGCATCGTAAGAAAGAGGAGACTCATTTGACGTCGTACACCAAAACTTCGGACTCTGCGATACGGTAAAGTTGGTTTTTACGGCACGTTTTTTCGTTTTTATTCGAGCTTGAGCACCTAGGGGTGGGTGCCGTCCGTTAGGGGAGGCGCACGGGCCACGCGCTTCTCAGGCCTCGGGGGGAGTAGTGGGGGCACCCGTGTAAAAAATTTCAGCTTCCCAGCTCGAAAGACTTAGAAAATATGACGATGACTAAAAGTGTTCCTCTAATTTTTGTCAGGAGTGTATGAGGACAGATTTACATTGTGAGCACCAATAGGATGGATTTTTGAGGTTTCTAACCTGCTCTGACTTTAAGATGAATCATAAGCAATCTCTTGAACTTTGAACATTCACCATATAGTCAATGCGGATTGTCTTCATAAGTTTTGAGCAAAATTTTAGCCAAAAATTAAGCTTTATCAACCTGATTTATTGTAGCTAAGTATTGCCAGATGAAATATTTTGTGGTTTTAAGCGGTCATATAAAGTTAATCTTAGGACAAAGTATCGTCACAATTGTCAAACCACGCAAGAATGTAATGCTCATTTTTTACTTTTTTCATTAATTTTTCTATAAAAAAAATTGAATTTTTTGATGTTATACCTCTAGTTGGAAGAGAGGCTTTTCTGGACCCCTCTTCGCTTGTTTTAATGGAAACAGAAGCCAAAGGGGTCTCACATCACATTTTTATAGGATAAGATAAAAAGTACTGTTTTCACCAAATTTAACAGAATCCCCCAAAATGGTATTCTCCATTACTCTGGCAAAAATGTTTTTAAAAAAGTATCGTCTTAAAGGGTTTCCATTGGGGTCCCAATGCATCGATTGAAAGTGGTTTGGACCGAATTTATCAAACTCAAAAACAGACCATCGCCGAGTCGGGGGGAAATTACACAAGAGTCTTTGCCTTGACAATGATGTTCCCATGGCACACCAAGCCTGCACCATGGGCTGCTTCCACATGGTGCAATAAACACCACGCGTCCTTAAGATCACGGGGAAGTCAAGTCCCATGACAAATGCTCCAGGAAGCGGTAGAAGGGTTTTAGTCGAGTTGAATCCGTGCACTTTTGCAATCCCTAAACCTTGGGGGTGAGAGAACAGTTGGAGAATGTCATCTTTAATGTCAGAATGCCAGCTCTCAATTTCATGTTTGTCTGATAACAATGTGGAACTACACATCTGAAATAAAACACTGGGGCTTATTAGAAAAATGCAATATTTTCAGAAGACCCTCCCTTTTAACTGTCTGGTAAAAATATTTTCAGGCGTAAAAGTTGAATTTACTGGTAGCATTTCTTACTTTGAATGATTCCATACTATGTTAAAAAATATTAAACGAAAAACAACATACCTTAAGGCAACTTGGTTCAGTAGCGTTTGCGCCGTAAGTCGCTAAAAGTCCAAGACACTTTGATGCAGCAGGAAAAGCCTTACTTGCAGAGAAAATATTGTTGCCTTCTGCCGTCATATTTTTGGTGAGTTCATTTAAGTATGATACGAGTTTTATATTCCCTTTATGAAATCTTTTTCTAATCGTTGGCTCATCAGGAATCATCAGCCGTATCTGTTCAATATCAGCTTTTGTCAGGTTAGACAAGTCAAGTTCATAAGATTCAATAGCTTTGCGCGGGTTTTCAAGACAGAAGTCAAGGCCATCGTTATCCTTGATGGGGTTTTCTTTCAGGTTGGTAGAAGGGCCTGCAACAAAAACACTCCATTAATTGCGCAAAAAATTAAATGAAAAAGATTCATTCAGATAAAAATAACAGGAAAAGTAGCGATACACATCGGCAACTTTGGCCCGTCCCGTGCATCAGGGAATGTGCTTATTTCGTCTTTGTTTAACCCTGACGGGAGTTGAATCTGAGTCTGGGGTCAAAATAAATGTTATTTTCGTCATCAGGGCCCTCAAAAACATAAGAAACAATGCAAAAATTTGAATAAAAAGAATGTCCAAAATATACCCCACTGGGATTGGAAACCGAGTCCAAACTTCTCCGATTCGCTTGAAACTGGCACCGTTGGTTTTGTTTCGTCGCCCCGATTCCAAAAATACCCCTACATGCCCTCCTAGCTGTATCCATTGCCGAAATCCTCCTTGACCCCATGTAGACCATGATGCACCTGCAGCAGCGCCCCCGGGGCTCGGATCAGATTTGCTGCCACCGGGCGGTTCTTACGGTCACCCAAGGAGGCTGCATACCAAATTTGGTCAAGATCGGACCACGGGAAGTCCTCGGACGAACGGGCGAACGGACAAACGGACGAACGGACGCACAGCAGGGATCATACTATATGCCCGTCCCTCCGTCATTTTTTTACAAAAAATAAACGGGACGGGCCAAAAAGGACACAAAAATCTTAGTTTTGCGTTTTGGATTTTGCAACAACGATGCTATACATAGATAAATTTGAGACAGTGTTTTCGTCGAAAGAAGAATTAAGACACAAAAGAATAAGGCGATAAACACACGAAAACAATCCACAAACTTGTGCAAGCAGAATGCAGGAAAGAGACAAGAAGAGCTTTTTTTGGGCTGACGCAGAAATGGTTGAATGGGATTCTTTTTGCAACTAAATCGGAACTTTAACACGTAACTTTAAGTCTTGGTCAAGCTTCGGCATTTTGAAGAAGGAATGAATGCAAAAGTCCTACCAAAACTTTACTAGCCAGGGGAAGGCCTTCGGCCTCGAAGCTGTGCTGGATCCTGCTGGAGATGAAAATGCATTTTCATCAGTAGTAAATTTGGATGTGTTTATTTTAAAAATAAGCCTCTTTTCTTTTTGGGGGTTGATAGCCAGGAAGTATCCTTTTGTGCGAAGGATTGTGATTCGGCAATGGTTCGTTTCTCCTTGAATCGACGGAAGGCTATTTAATAATCTAAAACGAAATGTTCCAACCAATCCTAACCTAACCTAACGGGCTCGTGACAGATCTTACTCCACTCGTGACAGATCCTACCCTACTCTCGACAGATCTTATTCTCAAACTAAATGGTCCAACCAAACCTAACCTAACGGGCTCGTGACAGATCTTTTTCTACTCGTGACAGATCTTTCCCTACTCTCGACCGATCTTATTCTCAAACTAAATGATCCAACAAATCCTAACCTCACCTTACGGGCTCGTCACAGATCTTACTCTACTCGTGACAGATCTTACCCTACTCTCGACAGATCTTATTCTCAAACTAAATGGTCCAACAAATCCTAACCTAACCTAACGGGCTCGTAAAAGATCTTTCCCTACTCTCGACCGATCTTATTCTTTAACTAAATGGTCCAACCAATCCCAACCTAACCTAACGGGCTCGTGGCAGATCTTTCCCTACTCTCGACCGATCTTATTCTCAGATTAAATGGTCCAACGAATCCTAACCTAACTGGCTCGTGACAGATCTTACTCTACTCGCGAAAGGTTATACCCTGCTCGCGACAGATCCTTTTCTCAAACTAAATGGCCTATGAAGCTTGGCGTACGACTATGGAGCTTGGACTATAGAATATGGACTATGGAGCTTAGACTATGGAGCTTGGACTATGGAGCTTGGACTATGGAGCTTGGCCTATGGAGCTTGGACTATGGAGCTTGGACAATAAAGCTTGGGCTATGGAGCTTGGACTATGGAGCTTGGGTTATGGAGCTTGGACTATGGAGCTTGGACTATGGAGCTTGGACTATGGAGCTTGGACTATGGAGCTTGCACTATAGAGCTTGGACTATGGAGCTTGGACTATGCATACTGCGGTCATGGTGAGGCCGTTGTTCGTTATGCAAGTTCTAAATATCAGAAAAGTTGGCCCGTCCATAGTTATAAAGAATGCCGTCAAGAGAATCGAAATCGTACAAACGCTAGGGGTCCCACATCGGCCGTTTTTGCTCAGCTTAGGCAACCCGCCACGCACCGACCCATTTTTTTTTAAATTCTAGCTATATGGCCAGGTAAGGGCTTTCCTCTCGCGCGGATCAAGTCTGGCGGTGTCTGCAATGTCTGCCCTGGACGGCGGGAAGCCACAACGACACCAGGCGAGTCGCAGGAACCGGGAAAACAGGTAAAACATGGCGGAATTGCCATTTTGGGGGAGAATGCACGCGCTTAGCGCACTGCACGTGCGTACCTGCGCTGCGGATTGCCACTACCCCTTCCCCCGCGCCAAACACACCCCCGCACCCACCCCGCGTGACCCAACCCAGCCCCCTGACCCAGACCCACCCCCTTAAATACATTTTGGACTCGTTTTCAGACTGATTTAGAGACATTTTGCAGCTCTTAGCTGACCCCGCACTGAACACGCAAGTGTGAAGTGCGAGGTAGGGGCTGTCAGCATTTGCGACTTTTCGATTTCGACAGCGGAAAAGCACTCAAAAGTTGCGTTTTTCAATGCTGATTTCAGATCCGTCCTCGTTTTTGCGATCATACAAAGCCTTCATGACCTTACTGGCCGTTTTAAGCAAAAAAGCGGTGCTTTTCATGTTTTTACAGTGTTTAGGCTCTCAGATAGCCTCCACGTCGTCGGCCAAGGAGGGTGACCATTCAGTTGTCTTCAGTAGCATAAAAGACAACATTCTGAGCTACGAGGGGTCGTGGGTCACCCCTTTTATGTGCCCAAGATCTAAAAGGCAGAATTTTTAAGTCAAAAATCACTCAATTTTTTACATTTTTTCACCGTTTATCGACTTATAAGAGAGCCCACGGGCCGAAGTCATAACTTAAACTTAAACAGGCCAAAAGGTGTCATTGGGTATGAGAAAGGTCGCCCAGCCCCTGCTCGGGCTCAGGGAAGCGCTGGGGGAGCGAGAGAGGCGGTGTCGAGAATGTTCAAAATGACCGAAATCAGATCAGAAGAGGCCTAGGTCGGGGCTCAAATGGGTATCCAATGAGGCCCAGGTCGGGGCTCAAAACGGTCTCAGGTCGAGGCTCAGGCCATCGGGGCTCGAGTCGGGCACTGGCCAGGGCTCAGGTCATCGGGGCACATGTCGACCCTGCCCTCAGCCTAGCTCGATCCTGGCAAGGGTCACCGCCGCGACAGACGCTTTGCCTTGCTGTGCCTAGGCAACTCAAACTCTACGCGCGCCACCTCCACTCCTTCGTCACTCTGCCTCCAGGGTGCGAGAGAGGCAGCGACGGATTCTTCGGAATCGCTTGCAGCCTGCCCGCCCTGCAGCTCGGTTTCGACGGCTCCCGTCGCTCTGTCAGAGATGCGCTCGCTTGCCGCAAATCCGGCCTTCTGATAGATTTAGAGTAAACTGGGGAAAAACCGCCTGTTGCGAGGCCAGAATGGAGGTGGAGGGGGGACGCCGCCAAGCCGCACTGAGACAAATAATGAAGATTGTGGCTGTTAAACCTAATGCTACTCTCCACTGTTTACCGAAAGAAGGTGTTTACCGTACCCTGGGGCACAGTAGACACCGTGCCTCCAGGAACGGCGTTCACTGTACCCTGGGAACCCGCATCCGCCGTACCTTGGAAACTGTTCAGACACTGCATTCAGTATAACCGTAACATAAAGGCGAAATTCCAAAATTACGATAGGAACGATTGGATGACGAAAATGAATTTATCTTAACAATTCGAACAAAAAATGATGGGCACATTATGGTCTCAGACTCGTAATTCAGCGGGAATCGTGATCAGAAGTCAAAAATAGTTGGATTTTGGACTCCAAAACATCGGACTGATCAAATTACGGTCCTAAATTCCACCTTTTTTAGACTTTTGATGCCGATATCTGTTGAATTTGGAGTCTGAGCCCATAACATGCTTATCATTTTTTGTTCGTCTTGTTGAGATGAATTCATTTCCGTCATTCAAACGTTCCTACAGTGACTTTGGAATTTCACCTTTATCTTACGGTTATACTGAATGCCGTGTCTGAACAGTTTCCAAGGTACAGTGGATGCAGGTTCCCAGGGTACAGTGAACGCCGTTCCATCAGGCACATTGTCTACTGTATCCCAGGGTACGGTAAACGGGGCATTCCACGTCAAACCATCATGGTCCAAAACTCACTTGCTCAGATCTGGCTCCCAATTTTTTCTGTCATAGCCTACCACTCAAGGACCACTCATATAAAGTTTTTTGAAAAAATATTTAGAACTTTAGCCGTGGCGATTTTTTGAAATTTCAAAAAAATTTCAAAACTTTTTTTTTAGTTTTTTGAAAATTGTGTCTTTAGGCGCTCAAATGGGTTGAAAACAGTAAATGGCAACATAATAAAGTGAGAAACAGGGTTGGGACCCTCAGTCTTCGCCTAAAAGGGCGTTTTTGACTAAAAATAACGGTTTTGTGAATTCCCAAAATACGCCATCTTACTTTTCGACCATATTGGTATCAAAGGGCCCTAGGGGGGTACTCTAACTGCTAGCAAAATATTGGGGACGGCAATCCATAAACACGTGAGATATTGTCAAAAAACGCTAGAAGTTATCTTAGTGGATCGTCAAAAATTGACTATTTGACACCCATATTGCTCCTGTGCATTAAAATGTTGTCCTACTGTCGGTCTTAACTCTCTGGAACCATTTCGAGGTGAAGGTCAGCATTACAAGAGTTGAGGCACTACACAGCGAGAAATCGTAGGCCTCAACTCTTGTTATGCTGACCTTCACCTCGAAATGGTTCCAGAGAGTTAAGACAGACAGTAGGACAACATTTTAATGCACAGGAGCAATATGGATGTCAAATAGTCAATTTTTG